AATCTCTATAGGTGGCTACTGCTATTCACAAGCTACCTTCTCAGTGGAAGGCTTTCAAAAGCTGTTTGCAGCATAAGAGGAAATAGATATTTTTCGAGGATTTAATTATCAAGCTGTGCATTGAGGAGGATAACAAATGGGCTGAACGTAAGTCAGAGAATTCTTACTCTGAGAAGGCTAATGTATTGGAGTACAGCCAAAGTTCTGGTATTAAGAAAGTTCACTCCTTTAAAGTCAAACAGGGTAACGAAAATCGAAAAGATAAAAAACAAGCTACAAAAGGGTCTCAGTTGAAGCCTGCAGGTGGGGTAGGAAAGAAACCTAAGTTCCAGTTCAATAGAAAGTGCTTTATTTGTGACCAAGTTGGGTATCGATCAGCAGACTGTCGTCAGCCTCGGAGAGATAATAAGCAGCGTCCTCAGGCTAATATGGTTGGAAATGAGACAGATCATCTCTCAGATGAAATGTCTGAGCTAAACCTCACAGCGGTGATTAATGAGGTTAACCTGGTGGGGTCTAACCCAAAGGAGTGGTGGCTGGACATTGGGACCACTTGCCATGTCTACCCCAACAGGAGCACACTACTTTTGCACCAGTTAGAAATGGTGAAAAGTTGTTCATGGAAAACTCTGCAACTTCTGAAGTGATTGGTAAAGGCAAGGTGATCCTAAAGATGACATCTGGCAAGGAGCTTACTCTGACTAATGTGTTGTATGTGCCAGAGATTCGCAAGAATCTAGTCTCTAGATCTCTTCTGAGCAAGAATGGGTTCCGCATGGTCTTTGAGGCGGATAAGCTGGTGATTACCAAAATAAGAGTTTATGTTGGGAAAGGCTATATGACTGATGGCCTGTTTAAATTGACTGTAATTGCTGTAACCCCAACTGTTATGAGTAATGAGAAAACTTCTTCTGTTTACTTGCTTGAGTCTCCTAATCTATAGCATGGTAGATTAGGTCACGTAAATTACAATGCTTTACGTAGACTAAGTAAACTAAATTACTTGCCTAGGTTTCAAATTGATTCAAATAATAAATGTGAAACATGCGTTGAATTTAAGCTTATTAGGTTTTCATTTCAAAGTATTGAAAGAAGTATCGAGCCATTGGGACTAGTCTACAGTGATGTATGTGACTTGAAATCTGTCCAAACACGAGGTGATAATAAGTATTTTATCACTTTTGTCGACGATAGCACGAGATATTGTTATGTGTACTTGCTTAAAAGCAAAGATGAAGCTATCGATAAATTCATTCTTTATAAGAATGAAGTTGAAAATCAACTTAGTAAGAAAATAAAGGTGCTACAGAGTGATCGTGGTGGTGAATATGAATCACCGTTTGGTGAATTTTGTGCTAAACATGGAATAATTCACCAAACTACTACACTTTATTCACCTCAGCAGAACGGAATTGCTGAGCGTAAGAATAGAACTTTAAAGGAAATGATAAATGCTATGTTAATTAGTTCTAGATTACCACAGAACATGTGGGGAGAAGGTATTCTTTCCGCAAATTACGTCTTGAATAAAGTGTTAAGAAAGAATATGGATAAGACTCCGTATGAACTTTGAACAAATCAGACACCTTTATATAAATACTTACGAATGTGGGGGTGTCTTGCTAAAGTTGTTGTGCCTCCTCCTAAGAAGGTCAAGATTGGACCTAAGACAGTTGATTGTGTGTTCACTGATTATGCACAAAATAGTAGTGCATATAGGTTCCTTGTGCATTATTCGAATGTACCTAATATTCATTCGAACACGATTATGGAGTCTAGGAATGCACAATTCTTTGAGAATATATTTTCTTGTAAGTCTCCTAAACAGTTAACTCCTATTAAACGGACAATGGAATCTTCTGCTTCTGGCAGCAGTAAAGATCCAGTTGAAGAAGGTGGGGATGAGCCTAGACGGAGCAAAATGACCAAAACTTCTAAGACGTTTGGCCCTGATTTTCTCACATATTTGATGGAGAATGATCCTCAAAGCTATAAAGAAGCTATATCTTCTCCAGATGGTCATTTGTGGAAAGAAGCCATCAAAAGTGAAATCGATT